AATTGTTGAATGGAAGACCAACTTGCTTTGTAAACTTTTACACAATTCACAATAAAAATTTAAAAATAAAAACAAACCTAGTCAGTTAAAACGAAAACAGAATCCTAGAGACCAATGTTCATTACAGCACTACTTATAATAGTCAGTAAATAGAAACCTAAATGCCAATGAACAGATAAATAGATAAAGAAATTGTCATGGAGTGGACATGGGGGGAGGGATTGTATAACAATGAAAGAATTTCTCTTTTACTTTTCAAAGAGAAGAGCAAACTGGGGCAGGGAAGTTGGTCAGGGAGAAACGTGCAACAATGAATGAATGGAACTCCAAAGTCTGTGTAAACTTTCATTAAAAGTAATACAAAAATTTAAAAAGAGAAATTGTCATCCACACAGACAATAGAATATGTTTCAGTCATAAAGAGAAACAAAGTCTTGATGTCACAAAATAGATGAACTTTGAAAACATGATGATGCTGAGTGAACTGAAAGAAGAAATATTTTATAATGATCGTGTATACAGAAATGGAAGCTAATTAGCAATTGGGAGGTTATAGAGGGTTGTTATTAAGGAATAATGGTGGTGGAATAAACAGAAAAGCATGGTGATAAGGGTTGTACAGCATGAAGAATGCAATCAATGTTAATGAATTACACATGTAGAAATTGTTTAATTGGCAAACATTTTATTGTGTATATTTTCACTGTAATTAAAAATTAAAACAAAAAAAATGCATTCAGTAAGTCAGACACAAAAGGACTAACATTACACAATGAAATGTCTAGATTAGGTAAATGTGTAGACGTCAAAATCTCTTCACTCACCAGAGCAAGATGCAGAATAATGTCTTTGTGGATTATGTTACAACCCCCAAGACTATGTCCCAAGGCCCTGGGACCAGCACCTCATGGCCTCAGGCTGTCTGGTGATGATTTAGAAGCTTACAGAGCATTACTACTTGTTCTGCCACATCTTGTCCCATAGTATATTTTATATTCTTTGCAAACAAAATAATTCAATGTGCATCAGTTCTTCTGTAATGTAAAGATGATGTAAAGTAACAAAAGGATATGTACACATTACACACAAACACGCCACTGTTTCCTATATAGTATTCAAGTGTCTTCAGATTTTGGAATCCTTGGGGGTCTTGGAAGGATATCCAAGGACACAAAGAAACTGCACTTCAAAGAAAATTTGAAGACTTTGTAATGATTGATTTAAACTGTCCTCAAGAAGTCATACAAAGTGGGTGGCACAATCCTCATCACAAAGAGAACTTACAAATGATAGAAATACTCAAATTTTAAACAGCAATTAAAGAGATTGTGAGGTCAGTAAAACCATCTCTTCCCCTTCGACCTCCCAGGAGCCATGGTAGTGTAACTGTTAAGGATTAAACTTCTTAAAGGCTGGTGATTCAAACCCACCCAGTGGTTCTGCCACAGAAAACACTGTGGGACAGCTCAACTTTGTCACATGGGCTCACTATGAGTTAGAGCAGACTGGAGGATACACAACCAAAGAGTCCACTTTGGTTGAAGGTCATGTAGTTAAGGGTATTTCTCTGTAAGCGTTGCAGTGAGAAGCATAGTCTACTGAAGAGTGCTTGGTCATTTAAATTACACCTCAACTATAGGATTTCCAAAGAGGTGCCTCATCTGAGATGAGAACTGAGAATTGTGGAAGGAATCAAAACCTATTTTTTTCTAAAGCCACTGAAACTCTAACAATCTACTTTATACAAAGGTGGAAAAATACAGAAAAAGGAGCAGCTTCAGCTTCAACAAGACTAAAGTACACAATGAAGATTCAACCTTGCTTCATTTGGGATTATAAAACTTTAACTTGAATGTTGTTTAAGAATGCAATTTTGAATACTGCATAAGACCATAATATATAATGGAAATAGGGCCTGATTTGACATATTTGAGTTAGGACAAACCACATTTACAACTATAATTTGTTGGGCATTTTACCATTAGCAATATGTACTACATACAATAATAGGGAGCTCTGGTGGCCTAATGGCAAGAAGCTGCACTACAACCCCAAAGGCACACTATTCAAGGCCACCAGCTGTTCTGCAGGAGAAAAATGGGCAATCTCCTCCCGTGTCTCTGAAAACCCGCTAGAGGGTCAGCTATGGGTTGGTTCCAACTCTATTGTATGCAACAATAACAACAATGTACAATATTAGAGCATGTAATTTGCTGGTAATAGCATTCTCATATGTTCATTTGTAAATGTTTATGTGCAATATTTCCAATTCATGAAGACAAGTAATGATCAGGTTTATAAAGCCACTAACAATAAAAGGCAATAATAGTGAAAACTAAGAGAGAAAGGTATTCAACTTATGTCCGAACAGACCTGGGGCAGAGTCATTGGTGTAGAGCCCCATCATAAGCTGTGGGCTACTTAGACATGAAAAAGTAATAGAAGACTTAGTACAAAGAACTCCAAAGGCCTGTCACCATTGATCTTTTTTTTTATTGTGACTTACTAATTTCTTATCTTGAAAAGATGTGAAAGATTAAAACATCATGATAAACAAGATCACTTTTTGGGGGGCTACACTGAGATACTCTATGCAAAATGCCTTAATTATTATTCAGGCCATGTGTTATAATACCAATATATATTTTTTTAAATTAACTATAGCTTTGGCCCAACAGAATCATGAAATTAAGTTAAAGATTTTACATTGAGGAAAGACCACTGCCTTTAAGCCAGTTCCTATTCATAGCAAGACTTCATCAGGTTTCTGAGAATGTAAATTCCACAGAGCCACTGGTGGATTTGAAGGTAAAAGCAAGTATTGTTTCAGACCACATAGCTTCCTCTAAAAGTGATGGGAAAGTCTGTCAACAAATAATGGGTATAGCTGCACACCACCATGTATCCAATTAATGTCAATGAACTATACATGTGAAGAATTTAGAAAGAACAAACGTTTTTCTACATGTATGTGTACCACTATGGAAAAAGCAAGAAAAAGAGAAAAGAATGAGTACATATTTGTGGAAATATTTAATTAGAAGCAAACATGAAGTTGACTCATCTATGTTCCCTCTGTAATGCATGAGCTCTGGTGGTGCAGCCCACAAGAAATTGCACTGCTAACATGATGGTGACTGGTTCAAATCTACCAGTGGCTCTGTGGGAGAAAGATCTGCAGTCCCCTCTCAGGAGATTTGCAGTCTCCAAAAATCTGTTAGAGGGTTATGTTGTATGAAGAAGTCCTGGTGGCTCTGTGGGTCAAATATTGGAGTACTTACTTATCAAAAGGTCAGCAGCTCACACTCACTCATCACTCCTTGGGAGGAAGATGTGGCAGTTTGCTTGGGTGATGATTACAGCCTTGGGGCAGTTCTACTCTGTCCTATGGGGTCACTCTAAGTTGGAATCAACCGTGTGGCAGTGAATTTATGCAGCATACAATAGGCTAGTATTTGCAGTTTCTCTGTCATTTAAGTTTCCCTCCTTCTAATATTTACTATCTCTCAGTCATTTATGTTTCCCTCCTTCAGTAAATTCACTAAATATTGCAGGGGGGGAAAGTACAGAGTTGGGAATACCTAGGAGGTGTTAGATGAATAGCAAGAGAGAAGGAGTAATGAAAAATAAGGTGTGAACTTAAGGCAGATAGCTTATGGAGCATTGTGATTATGTGGGAGTTAACATGCTATCAAGTGGGACTAGTATACAGAGAAGAGTACCATGCTGATAAAGTAGAGAGTCAAGTGAAAAAAGAGGAAGACTGTCAATGAGATGGGTTGGTACAGTGGGCTTGAGCACAGCAGACACTGTGGCACTGACAGAGGATTAAGATGTGCACGTGAGATCACTATGTGTCAGGACAACTCAATGTCACCTTACAGGAAGAAGTGATAGAAACTCCGGTGGTGTGGTGACTAAGTGCTTGGCAGCTAACTGAAAGGTCAGTGGTTTGAAATGATCCCTATTCCATAGGAAAAAAAGACCTGGTGACAGGTTCCTGTAAAGATTACAGACTTGGAAACCCTACAGGGCAGTCACTACGTCAATCCATCTGTCACGTGGGGAGGCATGACACGTAGGGTTGCTGTGAGTCATGACCAACCAAATGGCATTGGGTTTGGTTTCTGGTTAAAGATGGCTTGGATTACAGAAGTGGCGGGTAGACTAGAGTAGACACAGTGGATAGATGAGAAAGAGGAAAGAAAGAGTTGACAAGATTTGGTAACTAAACAAGTGTGAAGGTAACAGAGGGGAAGTGACTGAGCTTTCAGTCCTGGGATCCAGATAGACTCATAAACAGAAAGCAACTAATACAGGAATAGGAGGAGGTTTGAGGAAATAGAAATAGGACATATATAACTGTTGTTGTTATGTGCCATCAAGTCAGAACCAACTCAGGTGAATTTCCAGTGAGTTTTCAAAAACTGTAAATTGCACTGTAAATTTTCTCCTGTGGAGCAGCGGGTGCATTTGAACTGCCCACCTTTGGATTGACAGTGCAGCTTCTCACCCACTGGGCCACCAGAGCGCTCTAAAAATAAAACTATATAGTGGGATTTAATGTGCAAATGGAAAATAAATTTATATTTATCAAGGAGACCTACTCATTGCTATAAAGTAGATTTCAATTCAGAATGAGTCTGGAGGCTAGAGTAAAACTGCTCTGTAGTATTTTCAAAGCAATGTATTATTTTTTTTAAGGTAATGTATTTTCATGCAGCAATATGCCACATCACTGCCAACCTTTCAGCCAGCAGCTCGACACTTAACCATGGTAGTATGCCACCTGGGCTCTATATATCTCCATGGTTCTTGGTGGAATAGAGTCAGTCCCAAGCAGTTCTGATACTATAAGCTTCACCCGAATCAGAAATGTTTACTTAATATACATGATTACATCAAAGGAAAGCCCTTTTACTCAAGCCAAGTTTCAAAAGCTTACAAAGTATGGTCCATAGAGAATACTATCTAAAGCTGTAATTTTAATGTTACTTTACCATGGGATATGGTGATGGGTGCCCCAGGGATGACTCATTGCTCCTATGACTGATTAAAACACACTTGATCACAGGCAGATCATGGCTTGTAAAGGTCCCGCAGATCATCACTGAAAACACAGCTGCAAAACAAAGTGAATACAATGACGTTAATAAGTAGACACCTTAAAACCTAACAATATGCATTTATCTTAGATCAAAGCAAAATGAAATAAAAATGAAAATTGGCCAACATGACTTGCAGAGACCCTGTGGGAAAGGGCAGAACAAGGCCGTAGGGTTTTCAGGCTGTCAATCTATCCAGGAGCAAGCTGCCTCTTCCTTCTCCTACCAAAAAGTAGGTGGATTTGAACCACCAATCTTTTAGTTAGGGTCCCAATGCTTGATCCGCTGCACCACGAGGGTTCCTTGCCAACTTGAAGAGAGATAGAAGACACAAAATTTATTAACGTTCAGTCTTGGATAAGTCAGCAGCAGAGGCACACAGAGTGTGGGTCAGTAAAAGAGTCAAAGATCCTGTGTCTGTGCTATCCAATATGGCGGCTACCGTTTGTGAAAAGCTACTGAACATCTGAAACGAGGCTAGGACCAAAGAACTGATTATTTGCATAAAAGACATTCTTTTTTTTGTTATGGAAGAGTCTAAAAACTAAAGCAAATGTGCCATTGTTGACTCTATTTTGCCTGACTTTAGTAACATGAAAGTTTGTTTTTAACAATTATGCTGGATATTCAACTGGTATTTTCAATCTAGTAATTAGTTTTCTTCTGTTTGGGGAGGTTTTCTCGAATTATGTCTTTGACTCTCTTTCATGGAGCTCTGGTGGCACAATGGATTAAATATTGGGCTATGAAAGGGATTTCTGGTGACCCAGTGGTAAGGAATTGAACTGTCAACCCAAAGGCCTATGGTTCAAATCTGCTAGTTGCTCCACAAGAGAAGGGTGGGCAGTTGATGCCCATGTAATTTACAGCTTCAGAAAACATAGTGAAGGGTCAGCTGTGAGTTGGTTCCAACGCCATGGTACACAGCAACAATAACCGGGAGGCTGGGACTTGGAACCTACGAGCCACCCTTTGGGAGAGAGCTCTGGTAATCGGCTTCTATAATTATTCACAATCTTGGACATTCCATGGGACAGTTCTACTCTGCACTACAGGGTTGCTATAAGTTGGAATTGACTCAGCAGTAGTGGGTTGTATTTGGTTTGGGATCTCATATTAATTTCCTCGTGTCTTATGATTTGGATCTTTTTCTACCAAGTGATTAATGATTAAAAAGAAATCAAACCTACTGCCATACAGTCAATTCCAACTTATAGTGATCCTGCATTGGGTTTCCAAGGCTGAAATCTTCACTGAAGTGGCTGGTGCATATGATCCACTGATCTTTCTGTTAGTTACCCAATACCTAATACACTATGTCACCAGTAGTTAAAAACAATGCACTGTTAATATATACTACAATACAGATGAATTTAAAGAAGACCAAGCCAGATAAAAACAGTGGCATCACTAGAACTGGTGTCAATCAGTGTGGCAAATCCTAGTACCTTCTACAAGCCACCCTCTCCAATCCCATGGACCTCCTCCCCAGACCATTTGGAATTTTTAGTAATGGTCATTATTACTTTGAACTACAAAATAATATGTGATATATTTGTAAATTACTTAAATGTGATATTGCTTAGAGTATATGAACACTAACAATAAAATTGTTTCATAAAATCTTTCCACAGTTAATTACAAAGTGGTTGGTTTTAATATTATCAGAAACTGAGTGGAAGCAATTTTCCCCCTCCATCGGCCTCAATGAAGGTCTTCCTCACTTTTACTGGTCCTCAACTTATCTAAGTATGATGACTTTTTTAAAGGACTGGCCTCTTTTGATAACATGTCCAAAGTATGTGAGATGAAGTCTCATCATCTTTACTTTGAAGGTATACTCTGGCTTCACTTCTTCCAAGATGAATTTCTTCTTTGGGCCATCAGTCCATGGTATATCCAACACTCCTCGTCAGTGCCACAGTTTAAAAGCCTTGATTCTCTTAGGTATTCCTTATTCATTGTCCAACATTTACATGCATATGAAGCAACTGAAAACATCATGGTCTGCACCTGGCTCATTTTAGTCTTTAACGTGACATCTTTGCTACTTGGCATTTTAAAACAGATTTGCCCAACACAGTGTTGTTAAGTAATACTGAGACAAAACCAACTCATAGCTGACTTCCAGCAGGTTTTCTGAGGCAAGGAGATTGTCCAGCTTTCTCTCTCAGAGCAGCTGGAGGAGTTGAACCATCTGTCTTAGGGTTGTCAGTGCAGCTCCTTACCACTAAGATCCTTGACAGCAGGTTTGTCCAACACGATGCGTCCTTTGGTTTCATGACTCCTGCTCCCATAGATGTTGATTACAGTTCTAAGTAAAACGAAGTCCTTGATAATAGTAATAATTTCTCCATTTATCATGATGTTGTTTACTGGTCCAGTTGTGAGGATTGTTTTCTTTATGCTGAGGTATAATCTATTCTGAAGGCTAGAGTCTTTGATCTTCTTCAGTAAGTGCTTCAAGTCCTCTTCACTTTCACCAAGCAAAGTTGTAATCTCTGTGTATCACAGCTAAAGTACCCCTCTGATCTTGACACCACTTTATTCTTCAGATAACTCAACTTTTCCAATTACTTGCTCAACATGAAGATTGAGCTTTTCTGATTTTAAACTAATCCGGTTTATGTTTTAAAAAGCAGGGGGGGAAATGTGAAATATCAAAGGAATGATTACATTATTTGTAGTAAACACCCATGTTGTCAAGTCCTATACAGTAAGTTCTGGCTTATAAAAACCCTACATACAACTGAATAAAACTGCCCAATACTGCATCATCCTCACAATCACTGCTGTTTGGGCTCAGTGTTACAGCCATTGAGTCAACTTATCTTTCTAAATGTCTTTCTCTTTTTCACTGACCCTCCTCATTACCAAGCATGATGTCCTTCTCCAGGGACTTGTCCCTCCTGAGAACTTGCCCAAAGAATGTGAGTCTAATTCAATGATATTGCTCAATGTTGTTATTGTTGTTATGTGCCATCGAGTCACTTGAAACTCATAGTGACTCTATGTACAACAGCTTTGAAGCCTGCCCTGTCCTGAGCCAGTCTCACTGACTCTGACACGCCTACCCCCGTTATGCCAGTTACTGTAGCAATCCATCTCATCCAGGGTCTTCCTGCACCCTTCTGAGCATGATGTCCTTTCCCAGGATTGGTCCCTCCTGGCCACGTGTCCAAAGTATGTGAGACAGAGCCTCAAAATATAGTCTCCAAGGAGAAATTTGGTTTCACTCTCTCCAAGACACATGTATTTGTTTTCTTCACAGTCCATGGTATGTTCACAACTCTTCTCCAGCACCACAACTCAAAGGCTCCGATTCTTCTTCTACTATCCTTAGTCATTGTCCAGTTCTCTGATGCATAACAAGTAATTGTGAAGACCATGGCCTGGATCAGATGCACCTTAGTCACTAGACTGACATTGCTTCTCAGTACTCTGGAAAGATCCCTGACAGCAGATTTATATAATGCAATTCGTCTTTTGATTTTCTGACTGCTGGTGCCAAGAGTGTTGATTGTGGAGTAACATAAAAAATGTTTATGATCTATTTTGTTAAAAATAAGAATTGTTTTTCTCAAAACAGCTAGTTGGAAACCGTATACACATAAGGGAAAGGTCACAGCAAAATAGTTTACTTATTAGGTTTTAAGGATTCTACATGAATTTCTGAGGTTCCATTTCTGAAGTGATTGTTGTTAGCTATTGTTCAGCTGAAAAAAATCTAACTCGTAGCAGCCCTACCTGTTAGGTAGTACTGTGTGTCTATCTTCTTGTCTGTAGCCTCTACACATACTTAGAGAAGACTGCCCAGTTGTTTTCCTGTAGAACCTTCTGTTGAATTTGAACCATCTACCTTTTGATTAGCAATCAAATACTTAAGCTTGTTGCTGTTGTTATTTGCCATCTGATTGATTCCAACACATAGGGACCCCACACGCAACAAATTGAAGCCCTGTACAATCTTACACCACTCTCACAATCTCTGTTGTGCCCATTGTTTCAGGCACTGTGTCAGTCCATCTCATTGACAGTCTTTCTCTCCTCCTCTGACTCTCTGCCTTTCCAAGTATCATGTCCCATATCCTGAAAACACACTCAAAATATTTAAGATGAAGTCTTGTCATCTTTGATTCCAAGGAGCACCATGGTGGCACTTCTGCCAAGACAGATCTGCTTGTCCTTCGGGCAGTCTAGGGCATATTCAATAATACTTTTCACCAACACCTGAACTCAAAAGCATCAATTCTTGGGTCTTTCTTAGTTACTGTCCAGCCTTCACAAACATATGAAGCAACTGAAAATACCATGGCTTGTGTCAAATGCCCATTAGTCCCCACAATGACATCCTGACCTTGGTATTGCTTTAATGTTGTTTGTTCTGAATAAAGAATTAATAAAACAAATAAAAGAACACATAGTCAACACATAGTTCCATAGCTGTGTTACTGAACTCTTCAAGCAGAATAAGACTATCTGAGATCTTGAGATACAAAGAATGCTGAACACACATTTGCTTCCAGTCTCTATTAATTCTCCACTCACATGACAGTATCTTTTCCATTTTGTTGGGCACATTTATTTTTATACAGTCAATAATAAAATAACTCAATAGAGGTTTCATTCTGCTATGGCTGCATTTGCGAAGAGCCTGGTGTCATCCAACTGGCTAATGTCTGTCTATCCCAGTCAAAGAGCACACTTTCCATGTCTTTCTTATCCACTGACCGCTTCAAAATTCAGATGACCAGAATAAGTCCTGCATTTCCCACATAGTCACAGAATGGTTTGTTTAAGCAACCCATTGCTGCACCCCTCTTGAGTCCTAGGTAATTAATGAGAAGCAGGAAGTCCCAGTGGATGGCCACCTGACTGACGTGAAGGTCTGCATAGGTCTTAGCTTAGCCTCCTGGCTCAATTCCACCAAGTCAACAGGAGATTATAGATATAAAGATGACAGGTAGGTACCTAGACAGACAGATAGGCAAGGAGATAGACAGATAGGCAGCAGATAGACAGACAGATAGGCAGGCAGACAATGCCTGGTATTATGTTTCATGCTGGACTGTTCACCTAGATTGATGACTAATAAATAAGAATGAAGCAATAAATGTTCATCATAACCTCTGATAACATGATGTGAACTATGCCCTATCTTTTCTGGGACACAGGGAGGACTTTCTCACAGCAGCCACCAGGTCCCACATTCAGAAAGAATTTTTCTTCTTTTTTATCAATGACAAACACATAAGGACTGAGAAAATGGTGAAGAAAATAAAATTCTGGAAACTAACAAGCAGACAAGGAACGCTGAGAAGCAGCCTGAATTACACTTGAAAAACCAGCTCATTGCCAGCGAGTTGATTCTACCTCATTTAGATCCTAACAGAGCAGAATGGTTTCCAAGGCTGCAATGTTTAAGGGAGCAGATCAGCAAGTCTTATTGCTGGGAGAAGCTGGGTAGGTTTGAACCACTGGCCTTTTAGTTAGCAGTGGAACACTTTGTGAAGGCATCTCCTGGCTTCCTTGATTTACCTTGCCCAACCAAAACCAAGCCCTCTGCCAATGAGCATGCATTGCCTCATGCTAACTCAATTCAGACCCATGGAAATCCTCCATCAGTTTCCTGAGGATATAAATCTTTAATAGGAGAATGCCCATCTTTCTCCCTAGGAGTGGCTGGTGGATTAGAATCAGTGACCTTTTCATTAGCAGCACTTGTGTTCCACACTATACTACCAGAGCTCTCTGATATACATTACAGAATTCCCCAGTAGAGCCTAAACAGCTAGTTCCGTCTCCCAGCACACAGTCGACACAGAATAGATAGGAGGACCTTCTCCAGGTATTTTCAGGTCAGCCATAAGAAGAGACCTGAAGATAAGCTACCAAGAGGCTACGGGGCAAGTCACACTACATGCTGAGTTCAGCTGACTCGATAGGCTAACCCATTACTGCACCACCAGGGCCTCTCGTCACACAGATACAACACAGCATTTTAATCTACTCATGCCAAACGTTGTTGTTGTTGTTATGTGCCATCGAGTCGTTTCCGACTCATAGCGACCCTATGCACAACAGCTCTAAACCCTGCTCTATCCTGCGCCA